AAGACCTTTTGGGTTTTAAGGACTCAAACATAAAGACAAATGAGCATAAAATTCCCTTCAAAGCAATATATTGAGTTTGTGCAGTCTGCAACACACTGTCACGTGAACATGCCTTTCATGTTCATGTGAAAGGCCTCTTACTAGCCAGAGGAAGAGCTCTTGTCAGCCACACTTGAGGAAACTGCACGTTGCAAGGAACAAGGTACTCCCTCCCTACAACCCCAGAAGACAGAAGAAAGGCTGAGGAAGCCAGGCTGGGCCCTCTGTGTTTTCCCCAGCTGCAGTTCGGGATGGACTGTCAGGGCCCCGGCACCACGCTACCCTGGCCACCTTCTTTCACAGTCGCCTTGGTGAGCATGTGCAATGCCTAATGGCCTCAAAACATGTGGGAAAGTTCTCTTTCGATACAGAAAAGGTCCTCAAGACATTTATAGCCCAACTTAGCTATCACAGTTATCTGTAAATGACTCAAGTTCTAAAAATTAAAGCACATACATCTGCCACCAATTTGTCACTTGGTCTCCTGTGAGGTGGAAAGTAAAACTAAATGTCTTAAGTTGTAATAACATCACTGAGATAGAAACAGAACCTCACAAGAAAATTCCTTTGCTTAGGATGCTTTCAATATGCTCGCACAACCAAATTTCCCTGTGTATTTGCTGCCTCAAGGTCAAAGGGTAACAGAGGGCAGGAAAAGCATGAAGGTCAGCTTCGCTGTGATGATACATTGAAATTACAATGGAGTGATCACAGCTCAGGTGTCACAAAGGAAGTCCAGCAGCCACTGAGAATCTGGTCTCAGACAGATCTCTGCCACACTGAGAACCTGAAATCTCTTTAAACTGTACCAGGTCCAAGGACACCACCAGTATTCAGAACAGAACCTGCCAGCTGCAACCTTATAGTCTCAAAGTCTCCCCTTGTAACTACTCAGCCATTTCAGACCCCACAGGTCCTGGCTTAACAAGCACCCTTACTTCTTGCCAGCTCCAATCCTGGTTCTTGACAAACCATTTAAGTCGCCTTGCAGGCTTCTGCCTCCCCCATTTTGTAGTCTGGCCTGGTGGAACACAATTCAAATGCTTCTTTTATTTTTAGGGTTTTTTTTTTGTGGCGGGGGAGAGAGAGAATCATGTTTATTTATTGATTTACTTTTTTAAGAGGAGGTACGGGGGATTGAACCCAGGACCTTGTTCATGCTAAGCATGCACCCTACCATTTTGAGCTACACCCTCCTCCCTCAAATGCTTCTTGAATCTGTGTTTCCTGGGCTGCAGGCCTAACAAACCCCAAATAGGTACCATTTTTATTTAGGTCTCTGTTTCTGAAATTTTGTTTAATAGCTGGTACTTAAATATTAAGACCAAGTAGAATTGGCTTATAAACCATCTTACCCACAAAGTGGATTTCAGCTGGCTTAACAATAAGACCCACAGAACATAATAAACTATAATAAAGTAGAAATAAAAGAAGGGATGGAAGACTGAGAAGATATTAGAGCCTAGATTCCCCTCCCTCAGGGCCTTGCAGAGGCAACTCAAATATTTAGAGATCAAATAAAGAACAAGCGTGTGTGTGTTTCACTTTAACTTTCTTTCGGGGACGGGGTGGGGTGTGGTGGGGGGGACAGAGGGATTGTTGGACAAAGAGGAACTCCAAAGCCCGGGGCTTCAGGTTCCAAAGTTCACCGAGGTAGAGAGGGCATTTGGTGATCCACTGCTGGGGGTGGGAGTGGGGTTTATAAAATGGCCAAGGCTTCACAGCTGAGGAGGAGAACTGAGACTCTGGAGCCTGGGGCCAATTCACTATTCCCTCAGCTCCGAGAGGAGCCGGCCGGCCCGGCAGGGCCAAACTCCGCTGCTCCCCGCCCGCTCGCTCACACGGTCTGAGGAGAAGCAGCGAATTCAGCTGATGCAGGCGCACGGACTCTGTGGCCTTCCAGACTGCCAGGCGTGTGCGTGATTTTATTTGTAAGCCTGGTTTCCTAGGAGTTGCCCGCGGGTGAGAGCAGCTTATTCAGCCCGTGGGTGGTCAGAGGTTGCACTGAAGCCCCCCGCCCGGTGCCAAGAAGACATACTATTTGCTGATAGATCTGTCTGCAGCTCGGGGAGCATTTTTGAGTCTGCGCCCTGGCCTGGTCTGACGGCTGGTGCGTGAGGGCAGCCGAGTCCACTGCTGCACAGCCTTCCCGACCCCCGGTGGTTGTAGCCCCAGGGGGAGGCATTTTGAAGGGGATTTTGAAAAACCTGTATGAGGCAGGTGCCCTTAACTCACAAGGTTTAACTATTTTGAGCTGATCTCTACCCACTCACCATGTGGGTGCTGTTTATTTTACAGATAAAGACACAGATTCAAAAGTTATGGCAAATCCCTGGAGCCACAGTGCCAGCCGTTTGGAGTAGGTGGGGTACACAGATCTGACACCAGAATCTATGCTCTGATGATGCCAGGCTGCCCGATACCAGATTCAGCAGTGACAGTGAAGAACACAAAATGAACAAAAAATACATGCCTGAGTCTGAAGTTTGACTCTAGTTTCTGCTTATACCACTGAACACCCTGTAACCTCTGATGTTAATAATGTGAAAATGACATGGCAATTAACATCTATCACTCACTCACTAAGTACTGAGCATCTGGCAAATACTGTCTTACTTAATCCTGTTGGGGAGAAAACTTGCCACCCCAAATTCTCTCTTTGGCATATGGATTATTTCAAGCTGAAAACAGTAAATGACCAAAAGACTCAGGAAGGAACTCTTGTAACCAGGCAGGACCCTGTGGGGCCTTCCGAGGACAGACCCCTCTCCTATTATCTCTGAAGCACCCAGATAAAAGTATCTTATGTATATTTCCTGAGTTTTTCAGATGCTAAAAACCACCACCAAAGGGAAGAAATTAGCGACTTGATGATCGAGAGCACGTGCGTGGGCTCCCAGATCTTCTGGCACGTGTAGGGGGTGATAGTTTTGACCACCCTGTTCCCTCCACATCAACCAACCAGAGAACTGTGCATGAGCTGATCACGTACCCTGCGACCTCTCCCTGACCTGGCCTTTAAATATGCTTTGCTGAAACCCTCCGAGGAGTTCGGGATTTTCTTGGGCATGAGCCATCCTGTCCTCCTCGCCCAGCCCTGCAGTAAACTTTTCTCTGCTCCAAACTCCAATGTTTCAGTTTGGCCTCATGGTGTGTTGGGCACATGAACTTACCTTTCATAACACTCTGACCTTCCCCCAGCTGCCTAAAGAATTTAGATAGAGGGCTTGTTCCCAGAATGGAGCTTTCCCTAGAGATACCTGCAAGACTGTGGGCCAGGTGGGGGGTGGGGGCTCCAGGCAGGGCGTCAGCATCAGTCTGCTCTGTGTCCCTGCCTCTGCTTGGCCCAGCAAACACTGGTTTACCAAATGTGGCTTTTCTATCTTCATACGAATTGCCTTCCTCCCCACTTTGATCCACACGCCTGTCCCCAATGTTCTCTTTTGTCTTCAGCTGAAGGTGAGAGTTTCAGTCATGTCAGCGAGGTACTAAGTTTTCCTGAGTCTCCCTTATGTACACATGTTGTCAAACTTTTACGTGATTTTCTCCTGTTAATCAGTCTCACATCACTTTAATGCTTAGACCAACCAGAGAAACCCAGAAGGGCAGAGGAAAATGTCTTCTTCCCTAACAACTCTCCCCCACAAGAGAGGCGCTGTTGCCCTGGGGCTGCGGTCCGAGCCGCACGGCACAGCGCTCTCACAGGAGAGGCCGGGGCTCGTGGCCTCCCTGCAGAGCACTACCACTGACTGGTGCCCAGGTTACGCGGGGTTGCCACAGAAATGGCACAGAGACTTAATTCTTTCAGGAATGTTTCATATTATCCATTATTCTTATCTGTCAATTTTGAACTTCAGAGATAATTGTTTAATTATAAAAGATGGCTCTTTTACTAACAATTTTGTCATTAGCCAGCATATCTTTCATAGAATTAACTGAAATTTGTTTGTTATAATTGAAGGTCTTGACTTCAATTTTTGCTTTCATAGAAACCAGCCAATTCTGTTTACCAATTTGCCTAGCACCATACAACTACTAAATATGTGATGTCTACTCCCAGGATATCCAGGATCTTGCCTAATAAAGTCATGGCAAAGAACATCTTTTATCCACATCTTCCCTCAAGAGTAATCAGGTTTCTTTGGCAACTGTGATGGTTAGTTTGATGTGTCAACTTGGTTGGGCTATGGTAACTGGTTTGGGGTCAAACACTAGCCTAGATGTTGTGATGAAGGTATTTTTTAGATGTGGTTAACATTTAAATCAGGAGACTCTGAGGAAAGCAGATTACTCCTCATAATGAGGATGGGCCTCATACAACCTAGTTGAGACCATTAAGGAAAAAGGCTAGTGCCAGGCAATTCCTTAAAATCAACCCCCTCTCTGTATGTAAGTCTCATACACCCCCCCCCTTATTGGTTCTGTTGTCTGGAGAACCCTGACTAATACAGAGAGAAAGGAAAAGAGGAGAAAATTGAGGCAGAGAAGCGGGGAGATTTCTGAGACCCCTTTCTGTGCTCACCCATGACTGCAAACCTCCATTCTGGAAGCAAAGGTATGCAAGGGGAACTCGGAGCTACCACCTGGGCTCTGCTTTTGCATGTGGAAACTCAGTAGTTTCTGCAATCATGTTTTACAATCTTAAGTTTCTTTTTTTCCTGAAACAGCTTCCTGCTGCCTTCTTTTCTCTTGCACTTCCACGGCCCTAAATCCCATTCAGGAGAGAAGGTGCTAAACTATTCACAGTATTTTGATACTTAACAGATGAACATATCATCCAGAGTCATAAAGGTAAAGTCCAGAAATCCAGTGTAGAAGTAAAGTACATTCTTATATTAGTTTCTGTTTCTTTTATGCCTGAAAATAAAAATTCAGCTCATGACTGACTCCTTGAGATGAAACACATCAAGTACCTTATAAGCCTACTCTGAAAACAAGCATTAAGGAAAGCAATTTCTCACCATTTATGAGTCTCTGTCAGTGAGGTCTCCTCTGCTTCTTGGTCAATTTTAGCTGGAAATGCAAGAAAAGATCAGATAAATAATAAACGGTTATACTATCTCAAGCAAAACAGATCCAAGTAACACAAAATGTATTTTAATACATTATTAACCCTAATGAACTCCAGCCAGGAATTTATTTTAAATCTATGAATAGGTATGATTGAAGTGGCTATATTTTCTAAGTAATTTCTTTAAATCAGTCACATTAACCTGAGAAAACAAAACACTAGCTAACTTGATATTCATATCAAATGTGTTTGTCAAGGATTTAAATGCCAAGAATTAGTTGAAAATAATTCTCTCAAGCAATGGTACAAAAACCAAGTAAAAAACCTAAATAGAAATCACGTGTGATCTTCTTCATTCGTGCTCCTCACACCATCACAAGTGAACAGATCCAGAGATTATTTCTATGGAGATGTAATACAAAATATGTTTTCTACTAACTCCAAGTGGGGAGATGACAGTGCATCCATTTATCTGCCCTTAGATTTGTCTAAAAATGAAGAATGGTATTCTGACATAAACCCAAAGATAAAATTTGGTAAAGAGATTAATCACTATTATAGAAAACCTCATCATATAAAATATGCATGGCAGTGACTTTCACATTTTTTGACCAATAAGCATTCTAGGAATTTACGTATTATTGTACACACATACACACATATTTGACATAAAAGTTTCAACAATGCTCCTACTTCATGCAATGTAATATTTTTTCTTCTATTAGATCTCAAACTGCAGTCATGACCCACTGAACTGATTTCCTGCTTCACTAATGATCTGTGACACACAGTGTGAAAGTCACTGAGCTACTGGATAAAAAGTTAAAAACATCAATTTAAAAAACTCTGGAGCTAGTGAAAGAAGCTATCCTTTCATAATCATTCCCCTTCGGGTCACACTTGGGGCCATTTGGAGAAACTAGAAGACAAAGTGGAGCAGGGAAAATCGATTATAAAAGCTGGAACTGGGCATGAAATCAAACTGACGGTCACTCGGGAATTGTCAAAAGCATCTCCGTTACTACTTAAAACGCAACCACCCAGCTTGGGCTCCTTCATGTTTTACAATCTCAAGATGGTGTCTGTGTGAAGGCCTTTGAAGCACCTGCAAAGCCGCCATGGAGTGTCACGTGGCCACTCTTTGCAGGACTGTCAGTGTCAGAACTTAACAGGGATTGCTGGAGCTGGCAGCAGAGATTTTTTTTCCCTTTCTCTTTTTATTCTTTAGATTGTTTACATAAACTTATAGGTCAATCACTAGCCATATTAAAAACCAGTAAATGTTCCACGAGTTCACTCTGAAAAGTCTCCAACATGAACACACTGTCTTACAAAACTTGCTCTGGGCTGTGTGGCATGAGAATGGCTTGCTTCCAGGAGCAATTCTAGAACCACATAAAGTTTGTTTACGGGAAAACGACAAAGCACCATAATGCGTATCATTTACAGGAAGGATATTCTTCCAATTGACATTGTGTGTCTTTCTTTTTCTTTTGTAAAATCTAGAGGTTAAGGCTGAGATTAGAATAAAATTTCTGAACTATTTTAGAGGAATAAAGTAAATGATTTATGAAATATAAAATACCCTAGAATGAGATTCCAGAGATCTGTTTTCTGTTCCTGATTCTGCCACTGAAATTAGCTATGTAATCTTAGGCAAATAGACCAATTTGTTAACTAACATACACAAAATATTTAGCATAGTGCCCCAATAATTATCAGGGACTAACTAAATGTTCTTTGAAAATGCTGGATTTCAAGCTCCTGAAATTCCTGAAGTGATATAATACGTAATAATGTTTAACTGAAAACATCAACTTATTTTATCATGTTTCAACATTACATGCAGAAAAAGCAAGCACATACTTACAGCTTTTCAGAAAACATAAGCCCCTAAATTGTGAGTGGGATGAAGTGAGCCTGACTTGTTCACAATGGTTTCTTGTGATGTGTACTACAACAGCTCTTGCTTCATTGTATGAGCAAGTTTTGCTGAAAAAAACATTTGAATTCAATGTGGCAGAAGACTGATTCCTACTAAAGGAATAAAACATAAAAACAGACCCTCTTCCAAAACCTAACAGCCACATTACAACCATAAAACCAAACTAGAATAGCAAGGGATACTTAAAAATGTTGTATTATCCATTATTTTGCATGACTTTGAAGCTAAGAGGATTTGTGTCCTCAGCTGTAATTAGCTTTGATAGACAGTCCAATGAGAGATCAAAGAAAGTATATTAGAACACAAATGTCGACTCCTGATGAAGAGTGGACTGAAGAGACTTTCCTTTGTATGACAGTCTTAGAAATAAAACAATGTTCTGAAAACCTGGGGTGCAATTCAGTTTTCTGGGAACACTGAGATACCATCTTCCAATATGCTGCTTGTATAAACACACCATCAACATTTTGTTATCACGATTCTTTTAAACATACTCATGATGTTACCTTAGTGACAATGCAGGATTTAGTTTCTTTAGTTAGTGAGGATGAAACCTATCAAACTAAAATAAAATTTAATTAAGTTAGTAAAAATTAAGATGTCTTTTAGGAATTAAGTAACTCCGCCATTCATTTAGGGAGTACCCATGCTAACGACATGCAGTGACGGAAATCTTAAACCAATTGTATTTTTCAGCTTGAGTAAAAATTTTGACAAGCTGTGTACCATGTATGTTATTTGCATAGTTTTTCAAGTAAAAATTGAACATGACCTAGAAGTAAGATTACTTCCTATAAATGATGTAAACTTCTAATGGCTAATTATTTCATTCCTTGACCTTTTTTTAGAAATACAAAAATTATTTTTAGTTAATTTCTAATGGCAAAGGCGGCTTTGTAACTAGCTTTGAAAGCCAGCATTACTTTTAGCAGCACTTTCCTACCTATTTATAATCTGCTATCAATAAATTTTATTATACCAAAGTATATAAAATTAGCTATTATAAAAGATAGAAAAGATTCCAATTTTCTACTTCAAGATTTTCCCTTTCTTTATAGCACATGGCTCATTTTTTTTTTGACATATCAAATGAGGATGGCAGCCTTCTAGTTTGTTCATGATAACGGTAACTATAGGAAAGCTTTAAAGGACACTTAAAATAGACAACCAGGCACAGGCATGGTTTATAGTGACCCTCACTTGTCATCCCATCACCAGAGGCTCTCAGGAAACCCTGCTCACCTTCCACAGAGGCATCTGTGTGTCTCCTAATGGACACCACTGCCCAAGGCTTCCCTGGCCTCAGATCTCTGGGAACAACTGCTTTTCCCACACTTTGTGTGAAAGAGCTGCTTCCTTGGCAAGGTGTTCCCACCACTCTGCCTCTCATTTTCAGATCCCACCAGGGTCAGTGTTTGGGACAGAACATAAGATTTAGAGTCAAAAAGACCTGGGTATGAAAACTACATCAGCCACTAAATTGTGTGCGATTTTAATAACTCTGATGGTCACTTTTATATAGTAACTTTTCTTTATCACTAAAACACAGTAGTAATTTCTTCCCTGTTGAGTTGCTTGATTAAATAATGTATAAACACCAGCTGCATCGTAATAATCTTTTTATCTTTCCTCTCCTCAGCACATTACCATGACTATAAAAAGGACTGGGATATGTTGCTTTCAAAATGCAACAGTCCAGGATGTCAAGAAAGAACTATCCAATGGAGACAGGATGGAAATACAATGGAAAACAGTTGGCCAAAAAGCTGTGTTCAGCTTGTACAGAGGCAGGTCCAGCCTCTCAGTGTGATAACAAGCAAAGCAAAGGAGACTGAACTACATTCACTTTAAACACTGCTAAGAGATTCTCTCCTCTGGGTGTGATTAACAAGAACCAAACTTACCATCCTGCTGTGACCAGCCAGGAACCTGGATAGAACACATGAAACAACAGCTCTCACGTGCTGCACAGCAGGCAGCACAGGACCTGCTCTCTGGAAGAAGGTCAACAATGAGCTGAGCACTACAGCTCTCCTGGATTTCATCTGGGGCAGTTTCCAGAGTGTGGGCCCTGGGAAGGAGAACCCAAATAAGCCAGCCCATCCAGCTGAGCTGAGGAAACAGAGGTGCAAGTCGGGAGTCTGAAGCGGAGGGTAAAGTCCCAGAGAGGAAACAGATTTGCAGAAGAGAATGGCCAGAAATCTGCACTGAGGTCTCTTTTAGTTTTTGCTGAGTATTAGGTGGCACATAAATAAAGTAAAACTCTAAGTCAGAGCAAAAAACCAAGAAGCTATAAACTGAACAATTTCCAGGACCCACGCAGGGCCAAGAGTGGTTCGAGGTCTAAAGAGCTACAGTGGAAAGCTGCTGCTGAACATCTAGACAGGTAGTTTTTGGAGATGTGTGGGAGGTTGGGGGAAGGAAACTTTATGAGTAGGAATGTCACCAGTGTGAGGGGTACTCTAGACTAGCCCCAGCAGAGCTAAAAACATGCCTTCAAGGATCACATTGAATCACAAGTCATTTAAATTGTCTACCAAGACAAAGCAAAATATTCTTTAGAGTAATACACAAAATCCACACATTTAACAACATAACAACAAGAGTGCCTAGCATTTAACAAAAATTTACTAGACCGACCAAGCATCAGAAAAATGTAACGAATTGCCAGAAGACAACTAAGTCAACAGAAACAGACCCAGGAATGACAAGAGATGAACTAGCAAATAAAACTAAAGCAGCTATTATGACTGTGCTCAAATATTACAGAAAAATATGAACACAGAGAGAAATGGATGTCTTAGTCTGCTCAGTCTGCTGTAACAAAATGCTAACGACTAGATGGTTTAAACAACAAATGTTCATTCATCACAGTTCTGGAGGCTGGGAGCCTGAGATCAGAGTGTCAGGATGGTAGGGTTCTGGACAGCCTTCCTACTGGTTTGCAGACTGCCAGTCTCTTGCTGGTATTCACATGGTAAAGAGTAGAGAAAAAGGCAAGCTCCTCATGTCTCCTCCTATAAGCACTAATTCCACTTACGAAGCCTCCACCCTCAT